TGTATTAAAAAATCTTTGTTAATATAGATACAGTATAATCTAGGTATTTTAGCACAATTCTTCAAAGAGAACTTATTGTATCCTAGATACAAAACCATTTCAAAACCTGTAACGGTGAGTGACCTTGTATTCTGAATTAGTAATCTCCTTTGCTTAATCCGAATGAATTATTTAAGCTTCCCCCAGTGTTGCGCAAAAACTGGTTCTTTTCATTCCAGACTTAATTCAAACCACAATCGTAAACCTTGTCAAAAATTTGAATCCAATTTACTGTGAGCTCGCGTAATGGAGAGGCAAAGGGAATGGTGGAACAGTGTTGTCAGTTGTCTCGTTAATCATTCCCTTTGCAAATCCTTTTAGTCTCGTCGACCTTTCATAAGCGACTGGAGCGAAATAAGCAGCTTATAGATAGACATACAGCCTTATATTATGCACATTTATTTTCCCGCCATCGTAAATTAATATGTATCCTATACTTTTTTGTATTGAAGTAAAATAGTTTAACAATTTTTATAACTCAAGTGTTAAGAATTCCGATGCACGGTACTGACGTCGTCGAAGCATTTTTTTCAATACTGCAAAGAAAATCTCTTCTAAAACTCCAATAGGTAGTAACTAAACAAAAAGTGATTCTATTTCACTACCGCTTCAAATGTACAACCTTTGTACGACGCCGTGTAGTAACGGCGTTTACAGTAAATTTAAATATCAGATCATCGAGTATATAACCAGAAATAGAGACGAAATATCATTTTATTTGTTTGAAAACTATTCTGCTATATCATTACCGTGACAACTGCGCTCCGATTAGCTAGCCCGAATTCGAAACAATTGACGGGTGTCGTCAATGGGTGTCGTCAATTGTTTTACTTCAAATCGACCAGTTAACTTGAGCTTTACTATAATGGACGAAAATTGCAAAATTACATATTTAATATTTAATTACCGATGAAATGTGATTCCGTTTGTTTTGTAATTAGATGTTTTGCTGTTTTTCCCACACCGCCTAATAGAACAGCACGGCATTGTTAGAGATATTATCTATATTACAATAAATACAGAATATTTTTTGGAATATACGGAGACGTACACACAGGTCAGTAGTTGGCCTGTCTATATTTCATTGCAAAGGAGAGTTGATATTTACAAGAGCTGTATCGCTAATGTGTTACCAGGAATATATGGCCCTTATTTCGTCTCTATTTCTGGTTATATACTCGATGTATCAGAATAATGATAGTAGGGGTAACCCATTCCGCTACATACGCGCGACTACAGCGCGTCTGAGGCGCGTATACGCGCGCTGTTACATTGAACGTTTCATATTAAATCAACATAAGCACTACGGCATAAAGAAAGGTGGTGAGTGTTTTGCATGCTGTGCTATTTAAGTAAGTACTGTCCATGAACGGGTTAATATATAATTATATTGGCTAAATACAGGTTGTCGAAAGCCCCTAAAATGTCATACAAGTAAAAGTAATTTTAACACAATGATTTGACCTTTGTTTTAGTATGCAATTTTGAGAACAATAAATAAATACTAGACACATCGCGTGTCAGACTTCAGTTGAGTGTAGGTATTTGTTTACATTATTGTTCATCAATAACTTTAGGTTTATTGGATTGAAACTGATACCTAGTCTTGTAGGTTAAATTATTTTTTTCGATAATGTTTTAACTTTGTTTTTCTTCTCCTAATTTATTACTTATTACAAGATATATTTCGTCAAGGTACAGGACGAATAAGTCGTGCGCCTGGTGGTCAGCGACACGCCTGCCCATTACAGTTACAGTTACTGCCCATTACATTACAATAACGATCTGAGGAGCACTGCCATTGCGCCCGTCACCCTGAGACATAAAGTTGATAAGTCCCGTGTGTTTGGAATTTCACCAGCAACCCTTACCCTTCAAAACCTGAACGCAGTAATCTGCCGCCGTTGTTTGAAAGGGTGCATGTAAGATTAAAAAAAACTGTGCTTTCTGCCGTGATCAGTAAAAAATCTGATCTGGAAAAGGTATAAAGTTATCGCAAGAGAAAAGTTGATATTTTTTAAATTTAATTTCTTTAAATATTATTTTCACGGTTTTAAGTTTTTGTCACAAGCGTCTTTTCAACTAAGGACAGCAGTAGTACTTACACCAAACTCTACAGCTACTTGTCATATGCTCAGTTCTTTGTAGTTGTGGAGTGATATAGTTTTGTTAACTTTTGTCAATAAACGGTTGACCTATACCTTCAATAAGTATGTTCTCTTTATAAATTTTTCTTAATGACATTTAGCAGGTGGCCTTGACTGCGTCATCGGTCGAAAGGGGGAGCTGAAGGTTTTTAACCTATGTAATAGGTATGTAGTATTACGGCGCCCAGATGGAAACGTAACTTAGTTCAGGACGCTAACGAAGACTTCTGCCAGAAGAGTGTTGTAGGAGAGAGTATCAGGAATTAGAAGGTCACGCATATACTTACGCGCTGTCGCACAGTGTGAGAATTTCGCAATCTAGCGCGACTTAATGGAATAATGCAACTTATTCCAATTCATGTTGAATTGATTTTTATTAATATTACATAAATTGCCTATTACATTTTTTGTTTATCTTTTATGTGAGTAGTAAGACAAATAAATAATACGACGTCAAACTGTGTGTTTTGTTGTTCCAAATTATATTGTCGACTAGGTGATAGTTGTGAAATAAAAAAAAAAACTCGTTACCTTTATCGTAATACTAGTTGTGTTGTTTGAAACTTAAAGGTGGGTACTATTATATTTCAATGAAGTTTTAGGTAATTTCAGTGAATACACTACCATCTTAGTGAAAATAAAAAAGCTTGTTTCATAGTGAAGTTGTTAAAGTAAATTGGGTCTGAAAAACTAGTTATACCGCATTATATAGGTCTCTGGTATTACATGATACGTTGGTCCTAGGTCTCAGCTTTCAGATACAATCAGAAATAGCTGCGCGTTTTTACGACACACATACATGTGTATTAATTTTTAAGAATGGCTGAATATATAGAATATTCTTGGTATTAAATAGATACCTGTCAGTTGTGACTATGTGACCTCCCACTCACGCCATCCCTTTTTATCACCTTTTATCTGGTTCCTGGCCAATTGTTTTCAAATTTTGAATTGTTTTTTGATTCCTTTGCCTCGCCATTCTCATTTTGTTTCGTTCCGTCGTTACTCCCTGCTCAATCGCTGTAGCGAACAGTACTGCTCTGATTTTTAATTGCGTCTAATTTTGATCCTTCTACCAGTTCTCAACCTTATCATGTGCCAATTTTAATACCAATTATACAACTACTATTACACAATTATACAACTACTAATACAACTGTATACCTCGGCTCTTTCGGGGTAAGTCTGTCTCACGTTTAATATTAAAGTTTGGAGTGTTTTGTAGCGTCGTACCTGTTTTTTTATATACCTTTTCTTGTTACAGCCGTTTTCCTTTTGATTTAATTACGAATAAATGTTTGTGGACCGAAGTATTTGTTTTAATTTATTTATATTTTGTATTGGCGTTTCCGAGGACGGCTACCGGACACCCACGTTGCGTCACACGTCGAAGTACATACGTGTAAATAAATAGTGTTATATGTATATTATCATGTTATATTGTATTTATGATTAGTCCGTAAGGTATTTATTTAATATTTCTGTTATTATTTTGTTATATTATTGTTATATTATATGTATGTTAGTCTATAAGGTATGTATCTATGGGTTCTAGTTGCCTGAAATAAATAAATAAATAATTAAATCTCATTAGCGGTTTAGAATCCTTTCATAGTGTACACAAGGTAGTGTATCATGGACGAAATGTCATTGCTCGTGCATTCTTCCAATTGAACAAATATCTAGAGAGGCACAAAAGGTTCGCAACAAAGATAACAGAAGATATCGCGAGTTTTTCACTAGCAAAACGTCCCGTATTGCAACCAAGACAGATCTTTTGAACGATATGGATACCTAGATTAGAGTCGAAAAGTGATTAATGATTTAATTTTTTTTTGTTTTTATTTGGCATATATACCTGGTAAATAAATAAAATGTCTTTTATTACTATAATTATTTGTATAATGCATCGTATATAAATAAAACAAGAGTAATATATTTGTAATTACAAAGGATTTAAATTCGCTAGATTGCGAAATTCTTACACTGTGCATCGTCTTTTGGCCAACGAACATTCAGTGTAGTGTCTTTGTGTTGCGATCAGGTTGGCATGTAACTATATTAAATCTATTTTATATGTCAGTGAACTGGTTGCGTGCTAATTACTTTTTAATGGACAGAGTAATATTTTAAACACTTTCTTGCCTTTCATAGATAAAAATCTACGTGTAAACGTGTGATGACACCTATTTGGTTATTTGACTAATTACAAGTCCTTGGGGGCCGATACCGATTGTCGAGTGAGTTTTTTGTTACATTTTGCTAAGATACATGACAGAATAGAGTTTTAAAGAATTTTGTTGCGCAATTTTGTACTATATCTAGTATCTATCGAATCATTCACAGATTCCCTGAGTTATGTAACGCCTAGTTTGCGTACCGTCATTTAAAATACACTGTAGGTACTTCACGTAATATCGCAACATTAAAATAAAATTACAATTGAAATTACAGTGTAACAGGATACCATTTATTTTCGTGCCGCTTTTATGTTTCTCCAGTCGAATAAAAGCGCATTTCAGCTATTATTCAAACCAAACTTTCCACGACATTCTCCTATTAAATTACAGGTGACATTTATTTCTACTGCGTATTGTAATGTATCAACTTTAGCGTGGCAGCCTTCCATTACTGCAAATCATTGCACAGGTTTAATGATTAAAAATGCGAGGCGGCAGTCATTTACTCGATGATTTTGCCGTCACCGCGTCACGCGAGCTCTGCAATTTGCTACATGTAAGTCCTTGCTCGTGTACGGGTTAGCATGTCCCAAGAGCAACCTTCGACCTTAAACCGCAAATGATGCGTACTCACCTCATCAAAACAAACTGCGCTCTTAAACAGTCAATCTTGTACAACTATGAAGGAAGACACTACAGGCAGCTAACAATCACGGACTCTCGCGCGTATTGCACGGAACTTTACAACGTAGCTAAATTGACATGTTACGACAACACACACGATTATTTACACTTAGGGAGGCATCTTTTTATTGATGAATAGAGCGGTTGTAAGAGCGCGGAGGCGTTGAGGCGGACGGCGGGCGAGCGCGCTAGCCGGCGCGCCGCCTTGCTTTGACTGAAAGGCGCTTGGAAAACGAGTTCTGCGCACGCGTGGCAAAACACAGGATCGGCCGAAATTCACCCTGAACCCTGCTCCACAAAACGTCGCAGCTGCTCTTGGTCGACATTATAATATAGAACTTTACTATTTGTACGTTGAAGTCCATTTTACAATGAACGCCAAATGTATCATAGGTTATGTGAGGAGCTCTAGCGCGTGCCGCACTGCACACGATGGTAATTAAATATGTGTTTGACAATACTGTGACTGTGCTCCGGAGGCTGTGCTCAGAAACTGATGACGTCAACGAACGCAGACGACGCCGACGTATGCCTTTGTGGAACTGTTTGATAAGGTAATTAGGTTTGCGTGACACGCAAGGGAAAATCAGGCGAAGCCGAGATTTGCATTCATTAATAAATTAGAAGTTTTGGTGTTGGAAGACTTTCGCGGCATGATTTCGTTACTTGGAGCCGAAGGACTTCTTCATTGCAATGTTAACAATTAATTTTTTTGCATGTCAGTAGGTTGGTACATCTCTGTCTATATATTTACAAGCAAAACGTTTGAGCACGTACGGAAAGACGATAGGTTTAAAGTTGACTTCAGCGTATTTTGGGCAGTCTATTTCTGTGCCGTTGTTTGCATACCGTGCGGTCACTGCTCTTGAACTCTCACCTGGGCATTGCTGGATCTTGATATATATAAATAAGTAGAAGAATTTTTGCCATTCAATTCAGTATCAGTGCCACCAGTCGGTACAAATAGTTAAACGCCTGGTGTATTGTAATAGCAAAAATTATTTTACTACTCAGGAGTTTCTCATTATTTTTATAGAAGGGTCTATGGTAAACATTTAAAGTATAACCTGTTTACTTCAACAATAAGTAACTAGTTACCAGTACTTCGTAGGTGATTACTTAAATCCACTGTAAAAGTAATCTGTTTTAAGAATATAAGAAATAAGAATTTAAGAATATTTCAATCGTTGGTTTTTATGTTTTATTATTTATTTTTCCTATTTACTATGCTTGTGTCGTCTTATTATACTAAATGTAATCAAGTGTAGTAATATTTCAGTCTGTGCTCCCAACCTTCGATAGCTCAGTTGGTAGAGCGGTGGACTGTAGTGTGAATTGACGTTGAAATCCATAGGTCGCTGGTTCAAATCCGGCTCGAAGGATAGTAATTTCCACGGATGGAACTTTTCTCGAAATTGATCAAGGAGGTATTTATTTATTTTTATTTCAGTAACAAGCTACATTATCATTCTCAAAAAAAAAATTTGTTTAATTAAACAACAATAGAGACAACGATAAAAAAGAAATAATTAAATCAATTTAAATATCTAACTATTCTGTACAGAATACAATATTCATAAAGAACAGCATTTTTTTGAAAGTCTCAGTTTTATATTATTCTGGACTTGCCAAAGAATGCATACATGAACTCTATTAAATTCGAGAGATAAGATCTTGCCGGCTTTATAAACGATGTTCTGTCACGGTAAAGCTTTTAGTGTGTTATTTGACTTTATAATTGTATAGTTCGCCGGTGTGAATGTTTAATTACTAAAGTTAAAAGTCAGGTTATAGGTTTAGTTTCTATATGTATTTGAAAACCCGGATGTTTATCTAAAAAATTAAGTGATTCTTTACCGGAATATAATTTCTCAAATACAAGCTTCGGTCATTAGTTTTACGGAAACTAGTACTACGTGAGAATATCAGCTTTAAAGTAATGGGCACATATACGATAAACGTATGTACAGAAATAAAAGAAAAAACGAAACATTGAAAATGCATTGAAAGAATAAACGAAAAAGTGTACGCTGCGGACAGGATTCGAACCTGTGCGGGTAGAACCCAATGGATTTCAAGTCCATCTCCTTAACCACTCGGACACCGCAGCTCGTAGAGAATCTGACGAAATAACTGAATACATTCGATAATGTATTTTTGGCTTAAAATAATTCTTAATTTAAGACGATCTTCTTCTTCTCTGATTTCCATGTTTTTTTTACTATCGTTACAATGCAAAAATAGTTACAAAGCAATTATTCGATTCACATTTAAAAGTAGATGTGAAGCAAGTGTCATCTATTGGCAATTTGTTGCAGCTCTACAAAGTTCAACAAGCTATTTTCAGACTTAATACTTTTTCTACTCGCCTATAGATGACTAGTGCATAATTTTTACTTTTACTATTCAACAACAGATGGCGCCACTAGTTGCAGTTAGTTTTATTAATTATATTTATCATATCGAGTTCTTAGGTTTTTGCTATTGTTACACATGGGATAGGTTATTTTGAACAAACAAAATATACGCGATTTAGAACCGGAAAAAATAGGCCCATTTCCTTTGTATATAGTATTTATGAGAGGCAGAAGTAGTCATTAAAATGCAATAAATATACAAGAATTATATTAACTTATGGAATTTTTGTCACAGGTACGTGCTTATTAGGGATTAACACACCTCCGTGTAATGAATTTATTCGAAAACTCGAAGCGGCGAGTCATCGCTCCTGTCCAGGACATAAAAGGAAACCTGCGGGAAAGTGGTCACTAACAGTTACCTCTAATGTCAGTAGAGTTGGAATAGACATGCAACTTTCAGGGTTGTCTCATATATCTTTCTATTATTTTGATGCTTAGATTTTTAGCATCGTAGCTTCGTTAGAGTCAGCATGAATATTGACATACTACATTGCTTGTGTCGCTGAGTAGACATTTTTGCAAACTACACACACCCGCGGAACATATTTAGCTAAAATGTTTTTCAAAAGTTATTATACTTTTTTATTTTAGGTCTAATTTGAAAACAAAAAAATAGTCGACTGTCATTTTTTTCATTAATTTGTTTTATGTCGAGTATTTGTATAACCACTCGACAGAGTGGTTCGACGTTGAATTTGCGTGCTTGTTAATTTTGTACTTGGAAAAGATTTGTCAAAGTTTGATTTAATCAAAGTCAAACTGTTAGAATTTTAAATTTCGGCTGTTTCTGTTTTGTCACAAAATGTCATCGAGTATATAATCAGAAATAGAGACGAAATAAGGGATATATATTCCTGGTAACACATTAGCGATACAGCTCTTATAAAGATCAACTCTCGTTTGCACTGAAATATAGACAGGCCAACTACTGACCTTTGTTTACGTCTCCGTATATTCCAAAAAGTATTATGTATTTATTGTAATAAAGATAATATCTCTAACAATGCCGTGCTGTTCTATTCGGTGGTGTAGGAAAAACAGCAAAATATCTAATTACAAAGCAAACGGAATCACATTTCATCGGTAAATAAATATTAAATATGTTATTTTGCAATTTTCGTCCATTATAGCAAAGCTCAAGTTAATTGGTCGATTTGAAGTGAAACAATTGACGACACCCGTCAATTGTTTCGAATTCGGGCTAGCCAATCGGGGCGCAGTTGTCTCTAATGATATGGCAGAACAGTTTTCAAACAAATTAAATGACATTTCGTCTCTATTTCTGGTTATATACTCGATGCAAAATGTAAACAAAAAACGCATTTTGTTCAATTTCATTATTTCATTAAAGGTTATAAGGCCAAGGCTGTACTAAATCGATGTTCAAAATGTTAATGTCATTGCTTTATTCTTTACAATATCAAGTGACGGGACGAACAAGTCGAGCGCCTGATGATAAGCTACACGCCTGACCATAACAGTTGCAGTGCCACTCAGAGCTTTAAATCGTAAAGATGCCACTGCGCCCGTCACCCTGAGACGCAAGTTGACAAGTCCCATGTGCCTGTAATTTCACCAGCACCCTTACCCTTCAAATCGAAACACAGTAATGGTGACATTACTACTTGGCGGCAGAAATAGGTAAGGTGGCATTACTTTCCTGGACTAACTCTTTCACAAGGAGCTCTATCGCTGTTACTTTAAATCTACTTCGTATTAATTGAGACATAAGAGTTACTATTTTAAATCTCTTTTTATTTTGTTCCTTTTTCTTTTCAATGTACAATCATAATAAATAATTTATATATCTCAATGCTGGGTACGGGTCTCCTCTCATTGGGAACTTCACGATGAAAAAAAAAAACATCGGTGAAAACAACTTATGCTAAATTTCAGATTAAATTTCGCACATAAATTCTGAGAAACTCAGAAGTGCGAATTCGGATTCGAACCCACGGCCTCTGCTTGAGAGGCTGTAGGTCAAACCATTAGGCTACCATGGCTTTTCAATGTACAATAAACATCATCAACACAAGATCGGAAAAATCTTAAGACAAACTTAATATTTGAAACAAGCAAACAATCAGCTGGCCTCATATGAATTGAACAGATTTGTGGTTTGAAATATCAAAACTTGCATTTAATCAATAATTAAAGTGCAATATTCTTATTACGAAACTGATAAAATCAATGTCGGAAAAAAGAAAAGAAACTGTATTGATTGGGTGATTGAAAAAGGAAAAGGACAACTGGGATATAAATAACTTGATGGCGAGAACGTATTTACAAATAAATTTAGTAATTTTACAGACATTGTGTGACATACTTGCGAAATACGTAATAGTAGTGGATGTAATCGGGGCAAGTGTTTGCACTGATTGATTATATTTATTGTGGAATAAACAGGGTCGGAATTCCGGAGGCTTTAAGTTCTACCAGAAAGTGTTCCACACATATTTTTATCGCGTGACATTTTGTCCACAGCATATGGGAAGGAATAGGAATATTTACAAAAATCAATAAACCCAGTGAAATTATCGGTCAAAAGGGTACAGTAGCCATATTCGATACAAAATTAAGACTTCCACGAAGTCAAAAATTACTCAAGAGCAGCCCTAGTAACAATTAAAACACGAATCAGCTAAATATAGGCGCGTGCGCCGTCGTCAGGTGCACTTTCATAGCAGGCCTTCGAGTGCATCTTGCCGATCCCGTCTGCCCGCTTCGACTTCACTAAATGAGCGTGCAAGGTGTTTCCCTGCAAGTCTGTGGC